CTAACTGAGTACTTTTAAATGTTTTATCAAATTAAAGCTAAGAAATTCAAAGTTCACCACATGACTATACATGAGATTTAGCTTCACTCTCTCAGAATGCATAAATTTCATCAGATTCACAAGTATGATTCATGGTGGTGGACTGTTATGCATGAAACAGTAGGTAAAAACTACTAAAAAGTAGGTAAACTTTTTACTGTAAAAGTAACAGAGGTACATACATAGATATAATCATATAAAGTACTGATGCACCAAAATATAATCACAACAATATGAAAGTAAAATAAACAAAAAGAACAAAATGAACATTACATCTCTCCTTCTCTAGGCATGAGGGGTCCATGGATGTCATAGTAATATGATGTTATTTAGAGTAAACACTTTTTTTGAGATTGAAACACTTTGAGAAGCTCAATGTTATTTGATTAATTAGGGATAGAAAAGATGTATTCATGTGAGAATAGGCCTCCTTATATGGTTTGGTCAGAGAGAAGGAAGTAGGGACTAATTGCTCAGCATGCTCTATGTTCATGAAAAGCATATCAAATACGATTGCCTCTACCGGAAAGACTTTGCATTTCATCTGATAATACTTCTTCAATGCCCTTAATAAGACATAATATGGGTTAATGGAGTGGTTAGGGAACCACAAGGTTAACATTATTAGAGATATTTTTCATCTCATTAGAAGATTTTATCAGCTATGGTGGTCAAATCTCTGAAAACGTTAAATACGAAAGTGAGATTCATCCATTAATTAAATTATATGAACAACTAAAAACAAAGCAAAATGTTTTAATAAAATACTAATTGACTAAATAATTTAATGATTATAAAACAATTGAAACTGTGAAAGTGTGAACTGAGTAAATTAAACAACTTCTAGTCTAAAAGGAATGAAAAGAGCAAATGATACAAGTAATAAAATCTGAAATATTTAAAACACCTACTATTCTACAAACCTGGTACCCCAAAAAAAAAAAATGACTAGTTAAATAAGAAATAAATATTACAATGTCTTAATGGACATAGTTACCTTACACTTGTTGACATAATGATCTCCTTGTTCAACTTTCTTAAAGAGAAGCATCAATTCTTCCCTTACACAACATCATACTTCACATCAGTAGGTGAAGTATGATATTTCCACTTAAAGCCCACCTATACTAATAAGTGGAAATATCCGAGCTTAGCCCCTTTTGCCCTTGACGTTTCATTTATGTCCATGTAGAAAATATCTTTCAAATCTAAACTTTATACTTTTCACTTTAACTTTTGTGATTTCATAAATAGACTAAACCCCAAATTAAAGTCAAATTCAAAAATCAAAATCCTTACTTTTCTCTCGGTTCTGTGGCTTCTCCGCTACACCCTGCATCTTCTCCAACAACTCAAAACCAACATCTCATTTTCCATCGGTCATAAAATAGCCGATTCAGACCGAGTGAATGAGTTCGCGCGCATTGGAGATGGATGAAATGAAACCGCTCGATCCATAGGATTGCGAAGAGGTCACACTCTCTCTCTCATTTCAGGTTCCAATCCCGATTTCGACTGCACCAAAAGTCTTCCCTAATTCGGCTCTTAGTCATGCAACAGTTTCAACCTTTTGATGGGATCGGGATAATGACAAAGTGAAGGTTTATTTCTCCCTGGAAGCAGCTGATAAGGATAAGATGGAGGCGGACCTACTGATGTGAAGTATGATGTTGTGTAAGGGAAGAATTGATGCTTCTCTTTAAGAAAGTTGAACAAGGAGATCATTATGTCAACAAGTGTAAGGTAACTATGTCCATTAAGACATTGTAATATTTATTTCTTATTTAACTAGTCAGTTTTTTTTTTTGGGTACCAGGTTTGTAAAATAGTAGGTGTTTTAAATATTTCAGATTTTATTACTTGTATCATTTGCTCTTTTCATTCCTTTTAGACTAGAAGTTGTTTAATTTACTCAGTTCACACTTTCACACTTTCAATTGTTTTATAATCATTAAATTATTTAGTCAATTAGTATTTTATTAAAACATTTTGCTTTGTTTTTAGCTGTTCATATAATTTAAATAATGGATGAATCTCACTTTCGTATTTAACGTTTCAGAGATTTGACCACCATAGCTGATAAAATCTTCTAATGAGATGCAAAATATCTCTGATAATGTTAACCTTGTGGTTCCCTGACCACTCCATTAACCCATATTATGTCTTATTAAGGGCATTGAAGAAGTATTAGCAGATGAAATGCAAAGTCTTTCCGATAGAGGCAATCGTATTTGATATGCTTTTCATGAACATAGAGCATGCTGAGCAATTAGTCCCTACTTCCTTCTCTCTGACCAAACCATATAAGGAGGCCTATTCTCACATGAATACATCTTTTCTATCCCTAATTAATCAAATAACATTGAGCTTCTCAAAGTGTTTCAATCTCAAAAAAAGTGTTTACTCTAAATAACATCATATTACTATGACATCCATGGACCCCTCATGCCTAGAGAAGGAGAGATGTAATGTTCATTTTGTTCTTTTTGTTTATTTTACTTTCATATTGTTGTGATTATATTTTGGTGCATCAGTACTTTATATGATTATATCTATGTATGTACCTCTGTTACTTTTACAGTAAAAAGTTTACCTACTTTTTAGTAGTTTTTACCTACTGTTTCATGCATAACAGTCCACCACCATGAATCATACTTGTGAATCTGATGAAATTTATGCATTCTGAGAGAGTGAAGCTAAATCTCATGTATAGTCATGTGGTGAACTTTGAATTTCTTAGCTTTAATTTGATAAAACATTTAAAAGTACTCGGTTAGCTAACAACATATGCTTTCTTGTTTTGATTCTTAGCATAGATTTCAATAAAACAATGCATATTTGAGCACCAAACTCAGTTGCACCAAAAATGCTAACATATATGTAGTATACGACTAGACTAGGCACCATGCTTCACTTGATCACCTCGTTTTTCTTCTTCCGATTTTTCTCTACTTCTTTGAGAAGAATGCTTCTCAATGACAATGTGGAACCATTTATACTTTTTGTTACTACTAAAACCGAGGTTCCAATGATTTTAAAATTACCACTTCATGTATCCGTCTATTCTACATTAATCTTCATTTTTTCATTTTCAATTTGTCCCACAATTATTTTCTCTCTTTTCAGATAAAAATGAGCTTGTGGCTATAGTTCCACTTGATTCGAGTTTAAGTCAAACGACGATTTGAAGATAGCATTTTTGGTCAAGACATCAATCGGGCTCATAGGTTTTTCAATCAAATCGTCTCCCAGGGAAGCAAGATTAGTTGGCTCTTGTTGTTGGGTTCTTCTTTAGTCCTAGCTAGCTAATGGAGTGATACCACTACTATTGTTTTATTGTTGCTTCCAACAATGAATGTAGAAAAATAAGTTGAATATGGATTCATCGAATACATTTGTGTGTTGAAATTGTTTTGTTTTTGTTTTGTTGCATGTTGTTGCATATATATTTTGTTTCATCGTGTTGCTTTTTGTTGACTCCTTTTGTTTTTTGTTACACGGTGTTGCATTTTGTTGCATTGTGTTACTTATTTTTGTTTTATTGTTGCTCTTGTTTTATGTTATTTATTTAGGTTTTTTTTGCTACTTCTTTGAAGTAAGAAAAACTCAGAAATGATAACTTTGGATTATGAATATAAACCAATGGCAAGAAACATAAATGAACAATAAAAAACAAAAATTTCTCTTTTGGATTTATGCATCGTGTTGCTTTTTGTTTCTTTTGATTGCATCTTGTTTCTTTTTATTATACCTGTTGCTTTTTATTACATAATGTTGCATATTGATTTTGATTTTTTTGTCTACTTAGATTTGTATTTATATTCCTTACTTGTTTGGAATAAAAAATCACACGCATACACACATATAAACACCTAAAATGGTAAATTTGGATTTATGAATAAACAAAAAGAAACAATAAAAAACACAAAGAAACTATATGCAACAAAAGTAACAATTAAATGATGATAATAATAATAATAATAATATCTAAAGTGTATAAGTTCGTTATTACAAGCTTTAAATTTTTTAATTTTTCATTTTTTTATTTTTATTTTTTGACCTTTTTATTTTTGATTTTCATTATTTAAACAATTCTTAATTTAGTGTTTTTAATTCTAAGAACCTTGTTTACATTTTAATTTGATTCGTCTATTGTTTTAAAATCTCATATATTTATTTCAGAGCCTTTTAGAACGTTCTAAAATAATAGAATTCATATTATTTAATATTTTCAAAATATTTTTATCTTGTATTACGTATTTTTAATAATTTTAAGTTTATCAATTTTTTAATTATTTTTCATTTTTTATAAAATTTTATTTTCATATTTTATAAAATAATTTATATTATCTATTTAAAACACTACATTAAAATATAGTTCTCAATTTTTTTTAAGTTTTTTACATTTTTTATATTTATAACTTTTTTGTAAGATTTAAATTCATTTTCTTTAATTTTTCAATTTAATTTACAATTTTCTAATTTTGCATTTTTTGAGTTTTATTCTTTATTTTGAGTTTTTATGTTTTTAAAAATCAATTTACTTTTGTCTAATTTTATTGTTTTCTAAACATTTTCGACAATATGAGTTAATGAATTTTTACATTTTCATCTTAAAAACTATTCGTATTAGTTTTTTGAGAAGTGGAGTAGTGATTTAAATTTACATGCATGACACTACGTGTCAGGCGAAAGAAATTTTAGTCGGCTTCATACGTGCCAATGGTCCATTTTTGAAAAGAAACTTTGAAGTAATCTATATTTGAAAGAAAGTTTTAAGGTGAACAAAAGTGATATTAATTTCATTTTTAGTCTATTTGTGAAAATTACCCTAGCTTTAATGCTCAGCCCACCCTAAAATTAGTCTAGCTCACGTCAAAATTAATGTTCGGTCCATCCCAAACATGTCTAGCCCACTTCAACATTAATGTTTAAGTCTACCAGACTTATCACCCAATACACGACATGTGGCCTCCTGGCTCCTGCGAACCGCAAAGCGCGAGATTGCGACGAAGACGAAAGACACAAGCACGGAACATCACCCGACCTGCGACCACCACACGCGCCGCCGCCTGCCGTCCAATCGTCCAGGTCCCTACGTCCCATCGCAGTCCAGGCATCCATCACTCTGCACTCCAGTCACCACTATCTAGCCGTGCCGCCGTGGACTTCGGATTCCAGCCCTCCAGCCTTCACTCTCTAGGTATACTCTAAATCTCTAATGCTCTTTTAATATAATGTATTTTTTTTTAATTTTGTAATTGTATTTTATTATTAATTGGATATTTTAGTAGATAATAAAATAGTGTTTATTAATTATAAGTTTATAATGAATAAAGATAGAATCATAGAATTAAATATCATAGAACGATATATTGATTATACAATTGAAGATTAGAGACTGATTTGTTTATTGTGTAGACATGAAAAAAATTTCATACTTTACTGTTTTCTAGGATTGAATTTCATACTTGTTCCTCCCCAATTAATAATTTCCGATTTTCCCATTTAAATAACTCATTCTTTTCTTTCAACTTTAAATAATTATCTATCTAGTGCCTCATCGTGCTTAATAACATTATTGTGATGTTAGTCTTAAACATGAGTAGCTAAGTCCATCTAGGGCCTAAATTGGGGATAGGATTCATGGGTACTTGATGGTATGGGTTTAGTTTTTGAAATTCAGTTGATTTCTGGATAGTTGTATGAGATAAATTATAATAGACTATATGATATTGATCACCTCGTATATGAATGTTGAAATTTAATTCAATTCTTGTCTATGAGAATTTGAGTTAAATTAGCTTGGGTCTTATACAAGCAATATGATCTTAGAAATAAGTTGCGATCGCGATAATATAATTTAATTCTTGTCTATGAGAACTGATTACATTCCTGTCCAGGAAATTGAAAATCAATTTACTTAATTCTAAACCCGAAAGAACACCAAGAACCCGATCCATCCAATTTGAACTCTATTTTAAAATCTAGAATCAATTGATTTTTTTCTATTAATTTTGCACTTGCTGTTGGTTAGTTATTAAAACCATCCAATCATTATCTAGAGTGATTGTCATGACTTGTGCTAGCTTCTGATCACAAATCGTATTTATACTTTCTTTTTGCCACTCTTACGAGGCGATACTTGTGGTCAGTTTTCTTCCTGAATTAACCTACCACACTTCATTCACGTAAAAAAATGACCAATCAAATAACATACATATAACAGGCGGAGGACGTCTGGAATCTATAGGGGACTTGGTGCAGCCTGACAGACTTTAAAGCCACTGCTTCTCCTTGAGGCATGGATTCCCGGATGGGCAATACAATGGAGGACATCTTCGACTCATCTCTGAATGTAGAGGATATCTATTACAAACAAGGACACACCGATGGCTATGCTGATGGCCTATCATCCGGAGTAGAGGAAGGTCGTCAGGTAGGCCTAAAAACTGGCTTCGAAACCGGGTTAGAATTGGGCTTCTACAGAGGTTGTGTCGATGTGTGGAGCTCCGCAATCCGGCTAGATCCAACCTGTTTCTCGACTCGTGTTCAGAAAAACATCAAACAGATTGATGAATTGCTCCAAAGGTACCCTATATCTGACCCCGAAAATGAATCTGTTACTGATACTATGGAGTCCTTGAGGATGAAGTTCCGAGCTATCTGTGCCACCCTCAACGTTAAGTTAGAGTATAAGGGTTATCCTAGGGCATCCGATTCTCAGAAAACTGGATTTTGATGGTATATTCTATTCTATACAGTAAATGATGTATATTGTTCACCTAAGTTTTGTATTTTTTGTTTTCAATTTATGAAAATCAGTTCATGATTGTTCTGAATAATGAATTAAATTGAGCTTCGAAGAATCGTTTTTCATGTGTATTGATGGTGAACTGTTAGATATTAATGACACTAATAATTAATTAGTGCGTACATTAGCTAATGAGTTAGGCAAGGAACCTGTCTGGTCTTAGAATAGGACTTCTCACCAACTGGGAACCTGCGGTAGGTTCAGTATTCATAATTGTTCTAAGCATTGCCATGTTCTTGCTATTATATTTGGATCACATTTATTGCTTATGCTCATCACTTATTTAATGGTAATAACAAGAGGTTTTTCCATATATATTATTGAAATGTCAAATGGAAAAAATGTGACTGAAGTTACTATGAGAACATCATCGTTACTTCAATGTAAATTTGAACATATTAATGATCACTATTCCTATGGTCACTAAAGTATAAAAAATCATACTCCCTCCGTCTCTTAAAACTTTGCCATCTTTCCTTTTTGGCACGTCCCAAAAAACTTTGCCATTTTCCCTTTTAATCAATTATTTTGTGGTTTTTGTTATTTCTCTCTCCTCTGCACAAATCTCAAGCACACAGTTTTTACTTTATTATTCTCCGTGCCGGTCAACTTTGTCAGATTTAAGGGACGGAGGTAGTATGTTTATCCATCATCTTTATTATAGTCAAATATCCAGTCATTATTTCTAATAATAATCTTTTTTATTGCCTCTTTCTTTTATGAAGTATTACTCTGGAGTATGCCCATGTGAACAAAACATAATCTTGATAACTCTCTTTTTAATACTCCATATGATGTGGATGTGGATGGGAAACATGTTCTTACACTTCTATTTATTTTGGCTTATATTTTAAGAACTATGTTGTTATTTCATAGTATTTTATCAACTGCCAATTATTAGCGGTTTCATCTGTTTAGGTTAGTTATTTTGTCCTTTGATTTGAGAGCTTTTGTCTTTCTGTTTAGCTAGTTGTGTGATTTGTATGTCAGTTCATTTAAAGAGCAGATTGATGATAATTATGCATTCTGGATAGGGCTATTTTCAGACTTCCAGCTACTTATGTAATGCAAAATAAGCTTGATAAAATTTGTATGTTTCTTTGTTGTCTTTGTTCTTCAATTACCAAAACTAAAACCTTTATTCTCCAGTGTTTTTTACTATACACAAACAGGTTTATTTAGTTATTGACTGGAATACACAGGTAAAATGTGCTTGAAAAAATATCTCTTACCTTTTGCCAAATATTCTTTTATTCCAAATATCCCCTACTTCTATGTAATTTTACTCCCCTAGCATTTTACTCCCAGTCCAAAGAAGCCCCATGATCTCCGATAGATAGGGGCCATTTTGGTTGTAAGAATTGAATATGCTACTACTCCGTATATTATTGTAACTGAAGTATTGAACATGCTTAATGAATGAGAGAATTAAGATCAAGTATTTGAAACTGTATTTCCAGCAAAAATTAAAGGAAATGATATACTCCCTCCGTATCTAATTAGATGACCCGTTTGTTTTTCACGGAGTTTAAGAAATTACTGTAGACTTTATAAAAAGTAAGAGGTTTTTGGTACTGTAGCGGTACCGTAGCGGTACTGTAGTGGTACTGTAGTTGCTTTTTGAGTGGGATTCTTTCCAAAAAAGGAAAGTGTGACAAGTAAATAGATACGGAGAGAGTACATATTAGTTTGAGAACTATCAAATAAGCCCTCAAACTTTCATAAAAAGTGCAAATAAGCCCTTTTACCGGAAGCTTTGTCCGGTTGTCACCATTTGGGGCGGTTTCCGATGGAATTGTTTGATGATTTTTTTTGAGCATCTTCTTAATTAAGTCTAGTTTATTCATACCAAATTTCAGCTAAAAAATCAACCGAAAAGGCAGTCAAATGATTTTCTGAAATATACTGTGCTGCCTAAGTGCGCAGTTATCTTCAAAAATTCATTTGACTGACTTCCCGATTGAATGTTTAGCTGAGATTTAGTACGAGTAAACTAGACATAATGTAGAAGATGCTCAAAAAAATTAATCAAATAATTCTACCGGAAATCGCCCCAAATGGCGATGGCCGGACAGAGCTCCTATAAAAAGGATTATTTGCACTTTTTATGAAAGTTTGAGGACTGATGTGATGGTTCTCCCTACTTTTTTTCATCTCATTATAATTGTAATGGAAGCGCCAATCAAGTAGGGCTGGGAGGTTTGATTTGTATTGGTGGGGTTATAGGTAAGTGGTCACTGTCCTGGTCTACCCCATATGATTTAATTCTTGATGTTACATTAGTTTGTCAGAATGAGGTGGAGGGTATATACAATTGTGAATTGTTTCCTGAGCTACTTACTTGCTTAGGTGTATAAGTGTACTTATTCCATATTGATGTAATAGTTAAAGTGTGATTAACGGACTGATTAAACAGGAAGATGTGATCAGCCCGCTGGTAAAACACGAACCTGGGTATTAATGATGCTTTACTAAGCAGTTCAAAATGATTAGTATGAAATGCGTGATTATAGTTTTATTTAATGATGATGAAGTGAGTGGGTACAGCGATGGGTGGGGTAGGCTGGGCACATGGGGGTGGGGGTGCATGTGGCCCTGCAGTGCCTAACAGCAACAAAGAAGAGCCGATTAGATCGCATGGTGTGGTCAGCTAAGGTGTCTACCCCATTCTGTTTTTTCAGTTTTACCTAGAAATTAACTGCTTGCTTGTTTATGCACTGTGAGGCTTGTTCTGTGTGGACACCGGCTGTTTCCGGGTCCCGGTAGAGTTCGGGAGGAATCAGAACTCGATCCTACAAAATCGGTTTAATGGTTCTTGGTCTGTTTCCAAACAAGGGCGGAGTCAGGAGATTGGGGTGGTCAACTGGCCCCTAAGAAAAAAGAAAATTCGAAAATGTAGATCATTGAAATTTCTTTGATTGGATATATTATGACACATGTAACTCAGCATTGAAGTTACAAGTCCTGAAAAATCAATGTTCTCTCCGATTTTTTAAACTTCTACTTCTTGTGGTTTAAAAATCAATGTAATCTCCTAATAAAGCTATTTTTCTTTGTTTAGTCAAGAAATCTGTATCCATGTAATATACGTGGTATAAACAAAGATGTACTCTGCAAGTCTGCTTACAATGATATTTACCCTTAATATGAACAAAGCACTTATTTTTCAGATACAAATTTCAGATAAAAATTCAATCGGGAAGGCAGTCAAATGAATTTTTGAAGATAACTGCGCAGTTAGGCAGCACAGTATATTTCAGAAAATCATTTGAGTGCCTCCTCGATTGAATTTTTAGCTGAAATTTGGTACGGGTAAACTAGACTGAATGAAGAAGATGTTCAAAAAATTTCATTAAAATCTTCACCCGTAAACCGTCCCAAATGGCGACAGTCGGACAAAGGCTCCTGTAAAAAGGCTTATTTGCACTTTTTATGACAGTTTGAGGGCTTATTTGATAGTTATTCCTATTAATAACAATAGTAATAATAGTAGTAATAACACTAATATCTTTTAAAAGCTAGTTATTATACCTTCAAAGTATAGCTCATAAATACATTTACGTATACACATTCCAAGCCAATTTGTAGTAAATCGGAAGTATCATAAGGAGTAAGAGTTGCAAATGAAACAAATAATTTTAAGTTGATTCGTTATTTGGATTTATAAATTATGATTTGAATTCAAACATATATAGAATATAAATGCGAATACAAATCAGATTTTTGGTTCAAACATCCTTTTTTGAAAGGAAAACTGACATATTTTATTAAATCAAAAACAGGAGAATTACAAGCAATATAATAATCATCTGACACTAATCTCTCTCTCTAAGAACACTAACCATAAGCCCACCGGACCCCATACTTCCTTGTCAGACATAGAGTACTCCACCTGAAAAAGAGCGAGACTAATCGCTAAACATGTGATAGCTTCGAGGCTATTAACGGCTGCGTCAGCTTGATTTCCTCCCAATAGAAATATATCAACTAAACCATCATAGTTCATAATTAAAAAACTAAAATTGAATAACACGGACTTAAATAAGATAAACTGATCGAGCAGCCATATCCAAATTTCAAGCTTCATCTGCCAAACCCAGCCACACAGCTTCTCCATGGCCCTGCCTTCATCTCTTCCCCATCTTCATGATGCCCTTGTGGCGACCTCAACCGTGGCGGCGGTTCAGGAGGGGGACGTACCATTAACACTACCTTCGCTTCCAATTTGGATAGAAGTTCAACTTGGTCCCCCCTCTCTTGATTTCCGTCTTCTTCCACTTTCAACCGGGTTATCCTCGCCTCTTCATCGTTGAGGCCTAACTGAGAGGAGCTTGCGGCCAATCCTTGGTATACTGCCATAATGAATTTCGTGTATGGAACTCCTATTGAATCAGCCACCTTCCCTGCTGCAAACACTTGACTGTGTGATGGATCTACAATCACCGCGCTACTCTGCCACTCCCCCTTGCCGTGATGATTCCTGCAAGAAACAGTCCTCCTCTACGTTTTGCAACTAAGTTGCAAAGACCCACTTCTGACGTACACAAAGCGCGCTGCTGGACAAATGGAAATATCCACAGCCAGAAAAAATGAAAAAACCTAGGGAAACCCTAGGTGTCATCTGCCCCTTTAACAGCTAACTCTTAAAAATATTTGGTTCAAACATCTTTCAAATACGAATACAAATAATTATGTATTTGATTCGAAGAATAATGAAATATATATTTGTTTATACATAAACAAAAATCAACTATCTAGTACTATCATTCGTTCCGTTTTAATCGCAACATGTTGAATTTTACACTATTCACATGCTCTACTTTGACTACATTTTACGCTATTATTTTATGAAAATTATTTTTTTTAAAAATATTGTTCAATTGATCTCGTTGCAAATTTTCAAAATCTGATTTTTAATATTTTTTACTAATAGAATTAAAATATAATTACGATCAAAGACATGTGTTGGCAAATGTGAAATGTTGACCGTTGCAACTAAAAAAGAACGAAAGGAGTATGTGTGTGTGCATCAACCACCAACTATATGCGCGTTTAGTGTAAACTATATATCTAATGATGTTTTCTTATTATCAACGATGCAAATCTAACATAAAATCAATGTTGTTTGATTTTGATATATACAATTATCAACTTATTCCACACATTATAGGTATAATTTCTAATGTGTGTTAGTGTTTATTTCAAACACTTTGAAATATATTTATGTATAGTAATTATAAAATTAGTTCGCTTCAGTATATTGTTCACAACCTAAAAATGTATCGATCATTAAGTTTTAATGAAAAGTGTAATGTTACAAAATAAACTCTAAAACACATATTGTCATAACATGCATTTATAACATAAGAAATATATGAAAAGTTGTTTTAAAGCAATATTTGGTTAATATTTAACTTATGATCAAATCGACTTCAATATTTGTATATGATTCATTAAGTATTCGTATTGTTACACAAATACAAATCGAAAATAATATCCATTTCATATTCGAATTCGAATTCGTATTCGGAAAAATTAAACAAATACAAATACAAAATTGTACTATTCGTCTCGATTCGGTTCATTTACAACTCTATGGACGAATGTATATATATTAGTCCTTTGTCAATTTTGTGTAGTAAATGATTAACAGATTATCATTACAAATAAGCCTTTATATGTTTATGTATTTTTAAATGGATTTTTTTCATTTTTGGTCCCCGACTATTGTGTAATTGACATTTTTGGTACTCGACTTTTAACTTTACCAATTCTAGTCCTCGACTATTGTGCTAGAGACATTTTTAGTCTTTGACTTCAAAGTTTCCCACATTTAGTCGTCTGAGTATTATCGAATTGACACTTTTAGTCTTTCCACTATGATTTTGATACAATAAATGGATGACTAAAAATGTTATTATTAATATAGTTGAAGGACCAAAAGTGTCACTTGTTGGAAAAATGTGTTAAAAATTGCATTAAATGGTCATTTTGGGCAATTATTTGAGTGGGGTCCACTTCCAAGTTGGATCGGGTCAAAGTAGTTTCGGATTTTCCTTGTTAAGAGTTACAATTCGATATGTGGTACGCTCAAAACGGATAACGGGTGAATGAGAAATTGATTCTTGAAGTTCATTCGTTGAAATGGAAAAACTAGGAAAAAGGATGGGTTTCTAGTGTGATTTATCCTACACCGGAAAACCCAAGGGATTTTCACCCCCTTATAAAGGGAACCCTCTTTAAAGGAGTTAAGATTCCTATGGGGAAAGGCTCTCTTCGCGCGCAGGGGGGGTGCCGATCAAATCCCGAAAACAGAGAAGAAAAGGTGCGACTCGTGTGCGCGGGCGACATGCGGACATGAATGCTGTCCGAAAATCTATCATTCAAAGATACGATTTAATTTTTGTTTCTTCCCGTAACTTTTTATTTTTCCCAGGGCCAGAAGTGCTCGAACAGAACTGCTCGAGACCAGAAAACTTCCGTGGTATTCTGGTGGTGCGGACAAAACTGCTCGCATCAGAAATGCTCAGCTCTTCTGTTCTGGTGGGGGTCTTCTGGTCGCATCAGAAGAGCTCCAACTTTGATGTTTGCACCAGAAGTGCTCGACGTATTTTGGCCCGTTACAACAATAAATGCCGAACGTTCTTATCTTTTAATGATGCGTTAAATGGACAGTTTATGGTCAATTGAATGCCCAACGGACTGGTCATTGATGTCCAATGTTTAGGTCCATTAACACTCCACTTAACACACAACAAATCCTCCTCCTATATATATATATATATATATATATATATATATATATATATATATATATATATATATATATATATATATATCTGGGGGTCCTTTACAACAAACACACGTTCTTACACGTTCACAAGCAATCTGCACGTAGTTTTTAGCTCTAAAACCACTTACAGCTACTCCAGAAATTTTCTGAGTGTTCTGCTATTGTTCCCGTTCGCTGGAACTTTCGTTTGTTTGCTCAAACGTTAGTTCGTTAGCTACCGTATCCTGGGAAACGGTTGTTGCAACGCTCCTAGCACCGTGGGAGGCGACGAATATGTTTTAAGGGCATCGTGCGTAGCATGAGCTTTGGCTAAACTCTGTCTCGTCTATTTTGTGTTTTCTTTAGTCATTTTAGATAATTAATTTTTTATTAATTTTTTTCTTTGTTTTTCGAAACACACCCAACAATCTTAAAACGTATTCGGTGATTGTTGTACTTCGGTAAACAATCTAAAAACTGTAGTTTGTCACTGTTGTGAACGAACTTATTTTTTGTGTTTTCGGAAAACTTAAGAAAACGAAAATGACTTCTCAAGAAATCCATAATATTGGTGGGCAGAACGTGCCAAACGACACTCACTCTGAAAGTGGAGCTCTGGTGAACAATGGTTCACAACGCGGAGCATCTACTTTGGGCAACCAAGGAGAAATCCCTATGGTTACCATGCCAAGGAACTCTGTGGAGAAACCCGAAAAATTTAATGGGTTAAACTTCAAAAGATGGCAGCAAAAGATGCTATTTTACCTCACTACTCTTAGTCTTGCTAGGTTCTTGACCGAAGACGTGCCGGTAGCAACCGGGGGTGAGGTGGATGCGCAATTTTTCAACGCGGTTGAAGCTTGGAAGCATTCTGACTTCCTTTCCCGAAACTACTTGTTGAACGGGCTGCATGATGCTTTGTAGACGTTTATAGCAAATTTGCTACGGCTAAGGAGCTATGGAATGTTTTGGACCACAAATATAAAAGCGAGGATGCCGGCGCAAAGAAATTTGTTGTTGGTCGATTCCTTGATTTTAAAATGGTGGATTCGAAGACGTTCTCGAGTCAAGTTGAAGAGATGCAAATGATTTTCAATGAAATTCGAGATGAAGGAATGACAGTTAGTGAGTCTTTCCAAGTGGCGTCAATTATCCATCTATTGCCACCGACTTGGAAGGATTTCAAGAACTACCTTAAACATAAGCAAAAGGAAATGAACTTGGAACAATTGATCCTCCGTCCGCGGATTGAAGAGGATAACTGGAAGAACGATGGGAAAGTGCCAATCGTTACCAGCACCAAAGCAAACGTGGTGGAGCATGCAAAGGGCTCCAAAACCAAAAATAATGGGAAGAGCAAGCTCGGTCCCAAGGGAGGCATTTCCAAGACGAAGTTCAATGGAAAATACTTCAATTACAACAAGAACGAACATAAGTCCGCGGATTACAAGGCACCCATGAAGAAGAAGGACAATCAAGAAGAAGAATGAAGACACCATCCTTGCGGCCGTGGTGACCGAGGTCAACCTCGTTGGATCCAACTCCAAAGAGTGGTTCGTGGACACCAGTGCTACCCGGCATATTTGCTCTAACCGGGAGTTATTCACTACTTTTGAGCCATCAAATGGTGAGAAGGTGTGGATGGGAAACTCGGCTCATGCTGCGGTGGAAGGCGTGGGCAAGGTGGTCCTGAAGATGACTTTGGGCAAGGAGCTGACTCTCAACCAAGTGTTGTTCATTCCGGAGATACGCAAAAACCTGATCTCCGGCTCGTTGTTGAACAAGCATGGCTTCCACATGGTCTTTGAGTCGGATAAAATGGTTTTGTCTAAATCGGGAATGTATGTGGGCAAGGAGTATACATGCGATGGACTGTTTAAGCTCAATGTAATGACCGTTAATAATAATAATAATAAAATCCCTTCTGCTTACTTGCTTGAGCCTTTCAATGTGTGGCATGGTAGACTAGGACATGTTAATTTTAATTCTATACGTAGATTAATTAACATGTAACACACTCCTAAATTCACAATTGATGTGAATCACAAATGTGAAATTTGTGTAGAAGCAAAACTAACGAAAACGTCTTTCAAATCGGTTGAAAGAAAAACGGAACCACTTGAATTAATTCATAATGACGTTTGTGATTTTAAATCAATACAAACACGTGGCGGTAATAAATATTTTATTACTTTTATCGATGATAACACTCGCTATAGCTATGTTTATTTATTAAAAAATAAACATGAAGCAATCGATAAATTCATTCTTTATAAGAATGAAGTGGAAAACTAACTTAATCAAATGGATTAAAATGGTTAGAAGTGATCGAGGTGGTGAGTATTAAGCACCAATTGGTGACTTTTGCGGCAGCGTGGGAATAGTACATGAACGTACCGCACCCTATTCACCTCAATCAAACGGTGTTGCCGAACGAAAGAATCGCACATTGAAAGATATGATGAATGCGATGTTAGTAATATGTGGGGGAAGCAATCTTGTGGGGGAAGCCAAACGGTGTTCGGGCCTGCCACAAAATATGTGGGGGAAGCAATCTTGTCAAGCAATTACCTTTTATATAAGGTACCTCGGAAAAAATATGATAAAACTCCCTACGAGTTGTGGAAAGACAGAAGGCCTTCCTATCAATATTTAAAAGTGTGGGGGTGTTTGGCAAAAGTGTTTGTACCAACACCTAAGAAAAATAAAAATAGGTCCAAAAACGGTGGATTGTATTTATATTGGGTATGCACAAAATAGTAGTGCTTATCGGTTTTTAGTGTACAATTCGAATAATCTGGATGTACATAAAAACACAATTATTGAATCAAGGAATGCTTCATTCTTTGAAGACGTATTTCCATTCAAGTCCAACGAAGGACCAAGCACGTCAAAACGAACAT